TACGCTAGAATGCTGTTTATAGACTTCAGCTCAGCATTTAACACTGTCATCCCTTCTGTTAATCACCAAACTCACAGATCTGGGCATCAGAGCTTCTGTCTGCAGGTTTGGACTTTCTGACCACAGGTCCCAACATGTTCGGATGGATCATTTCTTAGGATCATTGAGACCCCACAGGTGAGATCTTGCATGGAGCCCCGGTCCGAGGGAGATTGACAGTCATGTTTAGCTTCTTCCATTTTCTAATGATTGCTCCAACAGTGGACCTTTTTTCACCGAGCTGCTTGGCAATTTCCCCGTAGCCCTTTCCAGCCTTGTGGAGGTGTACAATTTTGTCTCTAGTGTCTTTGGACAGCTCTTTGGTCTTGGCCATGTTAGTAGTTGGATTCTTACTGATTGTATGGGGTGGACAGGTGTCTTTATGCAGCTAACGACCTCAAACAGGTGCATCTAATTTAGGATAATAAATGGAGTGGAGGTGGACATTTTGAAGGCAGACTAACAGGTCTTTGAGAGTCAGAATTCTAGCTGATAGACAGGCGTTCAAATACTTATTGCAGCTGTATCATACAAATAAATAGTTAAAAACTCATACATTGTGATTTCTGGATTTCTTTTTTAGATTATGTCTCTCACAGTGGACATGCACCTACGATGACAATTTCAGACCCCCCATGATTTCTAAGTGGGAGAACTTGCAAAATAGCAGGTTGTTCAAATACTTATTTTCCTCACTGTACTATTCCAAATTAAAATGAAGCAGATATATTTTGATTTGTGAAGTTATGTGTTGCGCCGCATAAAATGTAATCCATACAAAAGTTGAAAGGACAATCTGATGATTCTCCATTATGCCTGGCATTAAAGTAGCTTTGAGTATGATGCATTAATAGATTTCTTTGTATTTTACAGCCTCCACTGGAAAAGTTCTCCTGCTACAAATCTGATTTGAACAGCTAATGTAAGGTAAATCTAAAACCCTATGCACCTCTCATTCTTAGTTTTAAGCTGAATTTTATGCTGATATGAAATCTAGTTCAGATGAGGTTTGATTTATTTCTGTCTGTATTTTCCAGATTCAAATTTTCCGCTTGTTTTTATTCAGAGAGGCAATATTTTGAATATCTTGGAAGCCATTTGAGGAGATTTGAAGTTGTTGCATGTGTATTCAAAAACTGCACCTTCAGCTCAAACTATATTCAACCTTCGCCTCCCGCAGAAATAGGAAACTGAACTTTGAAATTAGTCACATTTAATTGTTTACATGAGAACAAAAAGGTTTTTGTGTTTGAGTCTGTGAGAGTCAGGGAGAGAATGGAGAGAGGGTAAAAAATAGAGGTAGAGAAGACGCACCTGAGCTGAACTGAGGAAAATAAATTCACAAAATTGACATTTCACTTTGGGTCCCAACCGATAGTTTAGGAAAGGTTGAGTTAAAGTTTCAATGCATACAGTTACTTTGAAGCAGTTAAGAGTAATGCCCTCAGAGGACCAACCAATGCAGATCCAGGATATCATAGTTTTGACTGTTTTGATCTGTAATGCAATTAAGCCAATTGTAAAATCAATAAACACCATAACTTCCACACTACTGCTGTCATCATTCAGTTTAAAGTGCTCCCACACAGCTGAGGGCTTCATTTCGTGTTCCCTTGTGAACTGGAGCGTTACGTTCACTGCTGTCAGCGAAGGTCAGGCGCGCGAAAAAACCCTCAGTAATCGAATCTCATAATTGAAAATCGAATGTGTACCCAGCGGTCGAATATTCGGGTCCAGCCCAGTATTCATACTATAAAAAGAACCAATTTTTATCTAAATTTACCAAATTATGTATTTAAACAATCAATAAGTTTACTTGAATGATAAATTGTAAATTGCTTGATGAAATTTTGTATAATGCATGAAAAGCAAAAACAAATAAAATTGACAGAATCAAGTGTGTTGGATACCGAAGGCTGATCACTGTCTTTTATAACAACTCAATAAAAGAAACAAAATGCATCCTTTCAATAAGTCGTCTTTATTGTAAGTGCATTCTGGTGGTTCTTTCAATTGGAGATGGCAAATAGATATTTTCATAGTTGTAATTAAACTATATGGCTTATTACACAGTGCATGAGTGGGAATGCATTCCTAAAAGTCTCTAATTAACTCAATATCTCATAAGAAATAAATCTAAAATATCAGTGAATTAAATCATATTCCTGACATGAAAACCAGAGTGAAATTTGGGGTAATGATTACCTCTCCTTTCTCCTCTCCTCTCCCCTTCTCTTTCTTCCACTCTCCTCGTCCATCCTCCCTTCTCTCTTTCCTCTGTCCTCTCTTCTCTGTATTATTCAGTGTTTCCAATACTGAGAGACAGGAAATAAAGTTCAGGAATCACTAGAGTTGTGCATAAGGTCCATAAGGCCAGATTTACTACAGGTTGTTTGTGCGTGTACAAGCGAGTGCAAACCTCAGCTGTTATCGGTACCAAAGTCCTTTTAGGCAAGTCATGCCACTCGGCAGCCATCTTGGCAACGCTTCTGGGCAGCAATTTCATACTAACAAAACCAGGCTCCTATCTGAATGAATGGGGAGAGAGCCAGAACTGAGCTTTCACTGGTCACTGGGACATAAAAACTACATGAATAGAATCAGCAGTAAAATGATAAAAATCCCTGAAAAAGTTTGACGACTTTGCCCCAAAATAATGTTTAAAAAGAGTTTTTCCCCACCGGTTACTTCTACTAAGCATGCTCAGTGGAACCACACGATTGGCTGAAATATGATTCCCGTTTTGGCTGTTTAAAGCAGATGATTGGCTTTTTAGCGGAGGGGCGGGATAACCGCCATCTTTGCCGTTACGGGCTTTTCCCATAGAGTTGTATTGGGGATGTGATTGAACGCTTCCTCTTTCCTCCTCAGTTGGCAGTCTTCTCCTTTTTGTATGATTCAAAGACAAAATTTCTAAACTTCCTAAACTTAGTGAAATTATTTCAAATGTTTAGGATGGAAAGTTAGTAGTGTTACTAGTATGTGTGGCGTTGGAAGGAGCACGCATGGACGAGCAGCAGAGCAAACTAAGCTGAACACACGTTTGTAATGTTTTTTACAAACGTCTTGGCATGTGTGAGCTACAGGACACTCAGACAAGCAGCATGGAGACATTTTATTGATTATTGATGTATTTTTGGACGTTTGAAGCTAAGATACCGCTCACTGCAGTTGAGTGGATAAAAAAGTGTCTCAAACTCGCAGAAGAACACGGATGTTAACAAAACTTCACCAATCCTTCTATTGACAAAAGGGTGAGTAATTGATAACAAAATGAGTCTTAGGGTGAACTATACCTTGTTGTATTGTCATGCAAACTTGCTGGAAAATGTTTATTGAGAAAATTATTTCTTCACTTAAGAAAAATAAATGGGTTGTTAAATGAAACAGTTGCTTCATTTTTTTGTTCATTGTTTCAATAAAGAAAAACATCAAGAACAAATATTATGTAAAATGTTGTGTGTTACTTTAAAAATAAATGTTAGAAGGAATTTAAAATTTGTGATTGACTCGAGAAAGTTCCACTTTTTGACTTAAATTATGAAATAAAAATACCTTGTGCAGATATTCAAATTTCTGAGATGCACCTGTAGATGCACAATCCACTTTCTTTAATTTAGAGAAGTCAGTTTTGAAAAAACAAATGGTGTGTCTCCGCCTCCCTGATGGAAAATGACCACAGACCCAACAGAGATGAGGAAGCATAAAGGATTACTAACTAGATCATCTTTGTATGAACTTGTAAATGTACTTAATTACACTCCACTACTGGAAGTATTTAAATTCATGTGCAAAAATATCAGTCTGTTCAGTAGATGTTGAGATTTCTTTGAATTAAAACAAAAGAAACAGAAACACAGACTGACCTCATGATGGCGCTCTGGAGTCAACAGCCAGCAGAGAGCTCTCTCTGTCTCTCACAGTATAGCTTTGTCCCTAACTCTTAACCATCACAACTAAATGACCCAAACCTTCATTGAACTTAAACCTTATTTAATCTTCACCCTAAAACACTCTTTTAAAGGTCTGTCCCAAAGTGAGGAACAGACAAAATGTCCTCACTCCCAAGGTCTCAAACTCTAATTGGTCCTGAAAATTATAGTTATAGACAGGGCTGGACAAAAAAATCGGCCCGGGCATTTTGACTAGAGACCGGCCCACCAAGTATTATTGGCAAAGCCATAAAGCCTTTGAATGAAAACAAACGCTGTTCTGACAGCGATGTACACTGTCTTGTTGGTATATATGTATCAATCTAATAAACTTAAACCTACATCATCCTCCCTATTCTGGTATTCTAAACAGTAATTAGCGGAAAACAAAAGACTGCTTGGTCAAGTTAACCTCCTCCTGAACTATCTACAACACATGGTGGAAACCTGAAATTAAGACAGAGAAGACTAGAGGTGAGACATGATCATTAATGAATATTAAATTAATAAATGACAGATTTAGTGGTATTTTCATAAACTATTTATTTACCACATCAACAAACAGCATGGCGGCACAAAATATTTTTTTTTAACATGGCAGCCTTTAAAAAGTGAAAGGAGACAAAGAAAGAAAGGTGAAAAAGAATAACACTTAATTGACTTTTTGATGGCATTTTACACCTGGTACAGTATTTAGAAAATGTTGGAAAATACTGACATCATATACAGTACTTACTTCTTAAGAAATTATGATGGGACCCTGAAAAACAGGACACAAGTAAAAAGGACAGAGAAGGGTGAGAAAGAATGGTGAACCCTTATCACGAGGTAGTAATAATGTACATAGGTGTAATAGTCTAAAGTAGTCTTATCATCAATGTGGACCAGAATCAGAAGTCACTAAATTGTTAAGAGCCTGAGAATTGAATGTCAATAAAAAGAATACCACACCCGAATGACAGTTTGCATTAAGTGTATTAAATACACAGGGATGGTACATACATAAGAAAGCAGGTATGAAAAATAACAAACTAAAATAATAAAGTGCGCACAAAAAAAACTTTCCTTTTAACTTTGTTGAGCTCAGTTCATCCTTAGTTCCACTTGCCTTTATTGACAAGAGTTCATTTCTCACCGTTGGGGCCCTTTTAAGTTTGTGTTAGTGTTTGTCCTACCACCATGAAGATGAGGAAGATCCTGGCAATCCGTCTAAAGTCAGAGTCACAAACACGGTTGGCTCGCCACCCAGCCACCTAGACTGGGAATCCACAAAGCTCTGTAAAAACGTCTGGAACGTGTAGATTGGCATCACTCCGTGGAATGGATCTCAGCTGCACAAGGCTTCCAACTCTTTACCAAAACCTGACCTATAAACAAGGCCAAATCATTTCTCTCAATTACCATTCAGCGAATACATGGACTGCTACAGGCTACTATAAAATAAATAATATAATGCAATATCAAAATCGCTCTCTCATTGTACAACAGCTTCTTGTTTTCTTATATATAAAAAGTATGACTTTCTCAATTATCAAAAGTACATGTACATCAAAAATTACATCCTTGACATAACACTAAGTTTTATGAACCCTAAGTAACATTAACAGTGTCATAAATAAACTGCAGGCATTGCATATAAACATTGATCAAATCATTTACTTCAAATTAGAGGCATTAAGGTGTTAGCGTGCTAATTTATCCCCCTCTGCACCGGTAACAGTGGAAAGAATGCACTAAAAATTTACCTCTTTAACTTCCAGTAACAACAGTTTTTAACATCATTATTTTTTCAAAGTAACCATTTAGCAACAACATGGAAAGGTAACAATTCCTTTTATAATCCACAAACAAAATAATTTGTAATTTTCACAGGCATTAAAGAGTATTCCGCTAGCTTATTGTGGTTAATTACCCTATTAGCATACGAATACAGCAGTCTCACATTAGCTTTACACAATTAGCACCTTTGCATAGCTTCACCGATTAGCATAAATGCTAGCGAACTCCCAGTAAACTCAGCAGGCTGATTAAATACAAATGGGCCTCAAAAGCCTGTCCTGTTAACATGGACGCTAGCGAACTCAAAGGCCTAGCGCAAGGTAAACAACTCACCGTTTTAGCGGAATTCACCGCCTTTAGCTCCGTGACAACAGTGGATTCAGGCACAGCTCTCATTTACTCTCTATATTACAACAGGGTATAGTCAGTATAAGCGATAATGATCACAGAATTTGTTTAATTCACTCCATGTCGTTTCTCGTCTTACCGAGGGGAGAACGCTCAGGTACAGGCGCCAAAAGAAGGTGCAGAGACCGAGAGGCGTAATTGTAACGGAACATAGCTGGCAGCTGATTGGTCAGCTCACTGCATCATAACGTCCCCCATTTGCTAACTTACAAGCCCATCAAAGATGCTGAGAAAATAAAAGGTAACCCTTAGTGACTTGGTCAGACAGCTAAATAGTGTTTCTCATTATTAAGCCTGGGCTACAATGGCATTTGTTGGACTTGCTCATATGATCACACTACTTGTATCTTTATTCCACAAAAATAGCTGAATCATATACAGTAGTACTTACGTAGGAACTTAAAAAGTCGCATGGTCTAGAGAACCTCTTAAAGAATGATTAGACCCTGAAAAAACAGGACAGAGAGGAACAACGATTAGATAAATATTAAAATCTGTTAAGGACAGATTGTGATTGAATTGCACCAAAGACTATTTACTCACTGCATCAATAAAAAGTCAACCACAACACTTCCACAGCAGCAACACTGAACATATCTTAACATATGGAAACCTTTAAGAAGAAAAGGACAGACAGCGAAGGGTGAGAAAGACTTGCACTTAATGGATTTTTTTAGACGATGACACTACTGGTATGTTTACTCTAGAGAAATGGTTGAATCATATTCTATATAGTACTTACTTAAAATGAACCCACTTCAGGCTTCCAAAATTGACTGACTGAAACGAAACAATGACAGATTAAGGCTGTAAGAAAACTCTCATATTTATATTCTAATATTTATTCTATCTACTGTCTTATGCATTAAAACCTATTAAGATGGACACATTCTAAGCATTTTCTGAGCACGTGACTTGTTTGAAGTGAAGATAGACACAAAACCTATTCATTTGACTGTACTTTTAGGCAATAACAATAAAGTTTTTAATCTTAACTGAAACATAATTAGGAATGTTTTCATAATTTTATTTCACCCCACCAGGTTACAACAGCAGCTTTAGCAGGTCACTCTTCTCAGCTACCCTGTCAATGACCATGTCGGAGTCCAATGACATGAGAATGTCCTTTTCAGTGGCCATCAGCATAAACATCTCAAGCCTGTTTCCAGACAGGCTGCTTCGGAGTCTGCTTTTAATGAACTTGAGTGTAGAGAATGTTCTTTCACAGGCAACCTGAGTGAGAGAGAGGGTCAGCAGGTACTTGTATGCCAGCCCAAGGAGACAGTAGGCATCAGACAGCATGTTGAACCGCCTGAGAATTTGATAGCAGCACAGTGGGCAATTTTTGCAAGAATCACAGCTTTTGGTCACAATTACACTTTCTTCGTCCCATTCTTCAGATCTGTCCTTTGCTGTTCTGGTCCTGTAGTCATCTACATGTGATGTCTTAAGCCTTTCCCGCTGTCCTGCAAAACTTTTCAGTTCTGACTGAAGGTTATTTACTGTAGCCCTGCTGTCAAATTTGAGGAGACATGTGCTGAGGTTTTGAAGTGCATTACTAGGAAGAGAAACTGTTCTGACCTGGCTAAACTTCCTGGGGTCCAACCATGCCAAATCCGCAACAAGAGGGCCATTTGTGACAAATCGTCTGTGGATTGCTTCAATAACTGTGTCCAGGATGGTGGTGTTGTTTTCTCAGCATTGATTTGCAACTCATCTTCAGTCATCTCTCTGGCCATGCGTTTTCTCTTCTTGGCTCTCTTTACAGGTAGTGCAGCCTCCACTTCCATGTCTGGTTGTCCTCCCTCTCCTCGAGTTTCTGATTTGTCTGTTCACAAATGTGTCTGCAGCTACTTTTGAGCTATCTTGTGTGGCAGTCACCATATGATGGGCAGAGAGAATGTCCATCGCCGTTGACTGGAGGTACTTCGACAGAGGAGTTGTTTGCTCAAACACTAAGAATATCTGTGCTGTTAAGACAGTTTTATGCTTCAAGAGACACTCTTTAAAGCCTTGTGCTTTGGCACGAACAGCTGGCTTTTCTTTTTCCCTCTTTTCAATGGCTTCCAGCGTGAGCACTACATCAATGAAGAGGCCATCATCTGGTTTTCCAAAATGTCCAAAGATTTTTTGGAGGACATCATGCTTGGCCCACCACCGTGTCTCACCTATTGGACTGAGGCGTCTGTGTCTTGTCTCTTCTTGGGTTTGTTTCTCCCACAGATTAACCCTGTGATAGGAGTCCTTGATGAACACAGCTATGTCATTAAGTAAATTAAAGAGTGATCCACTTTCAATGACACTTTGTGTTGTGTCAGCAAGCACAAGATTAAGTATGTGTGCATAGCACCACACATGCACATGAGTTGGAGACTGGGCAGTCATAAGTGCTGAAAAGCCTTTGTACTGGCCCTGCATATTTGAAGCACCATCTGTTGCATTCGCAATGCACATGGCCTTGTCCAGATTCAGATGCTCTAAAACTCCAGAAAGCAAGTTTACAAAGTACTGCCCCGTGGATGCTTCTCACCTCACTATGGAGACAAGCCTCTCCTGCACAGCCTCAGTAACATACCTGATAATTACTGAACACTGATCATAACCTGTGATGTCTTGGGTTGTGTCCAGCTGAACATCCCAGCTCTCTGGACATCACTGGTGATGCTCTCTTGAATGAAATGGCCAATTGCATCAATCACTGAGTTGACAGTTGTTTTGGAGAGTAGGGTGACGAGAGACCCTCTACCTCTTGATCCACTGGACTGATGCAACTTCTTGCTTTTCTCAATGCAGTCATTCAAATGTTCTCTAAGGCACATATCATACTTGCCTAATAACACAATCTGTTCCAGAAAGTTACCATGATCGATAGTGTTATCACCCAAAGTGTATGCAGCCTCATTCTCCACATGCCTATAGCTGAGTCCCCTCTTCCCTATAGTACTTTGACCACGTCCACTATACGCTCCAAAACTTGCCGTCTCTTTTTCACTTGTGCTCTGTGAGCTGACAACTGACTGCCAGCAAACAAGTTGCTGATGTTGCCTTTTGAGCACCTTAAGAAAAAAGCTTCAGCACAGGTCTGGTGTGTAGTGTTCTTTTCATGCTCCTCTGCGCGCAGATGTACATGTCGCCAGTCATTCATGCCTGTTATAAATGCTGGTGTCAGTCCGCCTTGTAAATGCCAGACACACAAAGCAGAACAATAATGGCGTTCTTTGCAATAAGTAAGCCACTTCCTGCTGGTGCCATCTTTACGGCTGAACACCCTCACTACTGCATTGCTGGTGTTCTACTGTGGGTGGTAATCTAAGAATGCCTGTAATATGGCGGGTTCAGGGCGAGCAAAGTAATCTATGCCCTGGCTCTCACTCTCCTGGTCTTCCAACTCTCTCTCTTGCTCAATCTCTTTCTCTTGCTCCATTTCTCTCTCCTGTTCTTTTATTTCTCTCTCCTGTTCTTTTATTCTCTCTCCTGCTCTTCTGTCTCCTCTGTCACAGACTTCTCCACTTGTGATGATGGATCAACCTGGTGTAACATGTAAGGATTGGCACAATTTGTTGAGATTTTGGGGAGTTCCTCAATAACAAGGTGACCAAAGACTGCATTACAATGATCAGTGATAAAATGCCTAATTACTGTTTAATAATATCAAACATAAATGAAATATAATTAGTATTATCAATATAACAATAATGTACCAAATGCAATATGTTTATTTTTAACCTTTAATTATTAAAGGTTACAGGGTGGCCCCATACCATACCATAGTTATAACATCAAGGTCCAAAAATATTTAAAATTGTTTGGAAAAACGCAGACACTAAATAATAATGGCGGCACACAACAGTGCAGCGGCTTCTCAAGCTCCCGGTATCAAGCCTTATTATCATAATTATTACCTGCTGCTGACCCACCACTTTTTGAAACATTGAGGCACGGATGTACCTAATACAAATAAATAAACATCTCCAGTTAACTAGCAGAGCATTCATTTAGTTTGCGCTATTAAATAAGAGATCTAGTGCTTAAATCTGTTGGGTAACACTTTAGAATACGGTTCCTTCGTTAATGAATAACTACACAGAACCAATGAGTAACACAATATTAACAATCTATTAACTATTATTAACTAACAAGACACTCTGATTAACTAACTAGTAAGTAATAGCGCACAGGTGAAAGTGGTACTTCACTATTAACTAATCAATAACTACTATTTTTTTTAATACTTCCCAGAGAACTACTTTATCCCAGAGAAAAAGTTTATTAACAATCTAGTAACTACTATTAACTAAAATAAACTCTTATTAACGAATTAGTAAGTAATAGCTCACAGATGAAAGTATTACTACATACTTCTGTGGGAATTACTAATTATTTGGATCCGTATTATAAAGTGAAGATCACTGGAACTAACTAGTAATGACTCAAGTGTTACTAAAGACATTTTCTAAAAGTATACTAAAGTGACTTTAGTGTTTGGTTGCACAAATCATGACTAGATCATGTCGTACACTTGAGTCATTACTAGTTAGTTCCAGTGATCTTCACTTTATAATACGGATGCAATGTCAATGGTTATAGACACAAACTTTTGATTTCTGTTACATGTAATCAATAATTATTTCAATAATCTTCAGGCTGTTCTTTGTTCAGCATGTTTGGAGATTTAAAATGTGTCTGTGGACGAACTGAACCTGGAAACTGTGGTCATGTTTGTCCTCACAACATAACATAAAACCATGAAACATTAATAAATACAAACATTGTAATGGTAAAAAAATCCATCCTCTGTCCTTTCCTAAACACTTTTCCTTGACTTTGATGGAAAACGTCATGAGGTCAAGGAAAGATGTGAAGGAGAATTCATAAAAGACAACCGCGGTGCTCAGAGAACCAGGCTGCACTTACACCAGCTTCTTTTTAACCAACTTTATTTATAACACGCGGAAGATGAGTACAGTGACAAACTCAATGCTGCTCACTTCAAAAGGTTTCCTGTCCAACACAGAATCACACCTCCTAAGAAAGGATGTTTCATTTGGTACATTTAACCATCAGTTAGGCTGCTCATAGGAAGTAACAACAACATAGATACTGCTGAAAAAACAAAAAGGATTAAAATGCTGACACAATATAATAACAAAATATACAAGTAGAGAAAGTTGAGTGAATTATACTCAAACATAAATATAGAGTTTCCTGGGATGGGTGCTTTTGATATTTTTATACATTTGTTAAATAGATGCTCTGTTGTTTCTACAGGTGCATCAAAACATTTGAATGTCACGGAAAAGTTAATTTTTTTCTGTTATTCAATTCAAAAAGTTAGAATAAAGACTTCAGAATAGAGAAAAGTCGACCTGAGAAGAGCTCTAATCAGCTAATTAACTCAGAACACCTGCAAATGTTTCCTGATCCTTTAATCTCTCAGTCTGGTTCAGTTCAAATAAACTTTTCCAAGATATTCTAATTTTTTAGATGCTCCTGCACATTTATGTGCGTTTGTCGTAGTGAAACTACAATAGTGAGTTGCTTTAAATGCATTTAGAGAATTCAGCCCGCTCTTATCGTGGCTGCCACTTAAACACTTCCAGGTCATTTCACTCAGTTAGGAACCTTGTAAATACCCGATCAGTGCTGCCTGCTCGATTCAATGTTCTTCTCAGGAGCACTCATGGGATCTGTCTCCTTACCGGTGGGTTTCTACTAAACATAACCATCACAGCTCAATGCCTAAACTTAACAGACTCATATTCTCCACACTGCCAGGAGAGCTCAGAGTGACATGTGCTGGCCTGTAAACTTGCCTTTGGCTCTCTGTCCCAAACTGTGGAGTCGTCGGACAACATGGTGAGAGTCATCAACATACCCCCAACCCAAAAGCTCAGTAATGTTCTCAAACAGCTGCTCACTGTAGTAATGGCTTCAGTAAACAAACACTAACACAGATGATTTCACAGTGTGAGATGCAGAGAACTTAAAGTTTGACTTGTTGCAGTTGATGAAACTTCCCTCGATCTAAAACAACTCAGTGTTCAGGAGCATTATATTATGTCCCAGTCAGGACCTGCACAATAACATTAATCAGCCCCTACTGGCCTGAAGGGGAAAATATCCAGATTCAATACTAACCTGACCAAAACACACACATAACAGGTTTTTTCATAGAAGACATTTTGACACAGCACATCAGGAAAACAGATTTAAATTGAACAATTAATGATGGCTGGATTCCATTTAGCTACTTCAGTTTCAGAGTCCTGACAATTAAACACGTCTGCTGTGAAAAAGATCTAAAGGCTCCAACAGTCGTCATGCAGAGCTGCTTCTGAACCGGTCTAACAACCAGACGTGTTTTAAAGCAGATAAAAACACTCTGCTTAAATAACTAGTTGTGTCTTTGTGACATTTACATCTTCTCTTCTCACCTTCTTGAAAGATTCCTGTTTGAACGTATGAAGATGCAGATATTATTCATTTCAAGGGTTTATACTCACAAAATGTCCATTCTCACTGCTCTAACTTGTCTCCTAGAAATTAAGTTTGTTTACAACTAATGTGCCACAGTAAACACATGTTGAAGGAAACAACACAGACTGGATTTAGTTTCTGGTAACACACTGTAAAAAAGTAAAGTCACAAAAATTTTGATATTGAACGTAACAGTAAAATGTTCCCTGATTTGTTCTTCAATCTTGCAAAATACAACATCTGCTTTCAGTATTATTAAACTTGACTAAGACTCTGGCAGCAGCTGGTTAAGGTCAGAGAAAGATGGTGGTCTGGTTTATTACAGTAAAAGTGACTTACAAACACTAAACAGCACGAGGCGAGACAAAGGCCAGTTTGAAGAAAAGAGTCTGCTGCTGCTTTTTAAAGGCGCGAAGAGACTGAGGAACGTAAGTCTAAAAAAAGAGCGTTCCACAGTGTTGGAGCCAATACTTCTACTGTTTTCAATCGAGCACGTAGAACAACCAGAGAGCTCTGGTCAGAAGACCTAAGTGATCTAAAGAAAACAATAATAAATCAATAAACAAATGAATAAAATAATCTGATCTTTAAATTTTTTTTGCGCAGCTCCTCTTCAGTTTATCTTTGATTTAATTGTGTGTGGGGGGTGCAGAAACCGTCACTATGGAGTTTTGGTAAAAGCTGAAATGGAAGTGCAGAGAAGTGTGTAACACTCTGTCTCCTTAAGGGGGCGTTCAAGTTGGAATTTACAACTGGAAACTGGGAAAATCCAACTTCATGTGTCAAATGCAGCATTATTACCTGCTGTTCTGACTCTGCCTGCCTGGATCAAGTAAAACTGAACTTGGTCTTTATATTTCCTGTCTCTGACACGTGGGAACGGCTTCACCACTGCCAGTTTCCTCTGAAACATGACAGTTAGAATAAACTATATTTAGATTCACACTGAGCCTCAAGTTCACACTTTGTATTTGTGACAATGACCCGTTTCACCACATGAAAGGAAGAAGAAGAAGGTGCAAAGAGCTCTGGAGGTGTTAAACCTCTACAGAAATATAGGAGTTAAAATGACTGCATATCAAACAATAACAGCTGATACAGAAATAAGAGTAAAAACTAATACATGTTTAACTACAACACAGCACTAGCACATTAAAGTGCCTGACAGCAAGTTCATCAAGCTAAATGTCCCATATATTATCATAAAATAATTCAAATAATAAAACATTTATCAGTTCTCAGTGTAAATTACCTGTAATGATATGAGCTGTAACTACACTGTGGTCTCTTATTTGTTTGGTTAGTTGACGGTGGCGTAGAGGTCGCTGGGATCAGCTGAGGCTCCAGCAGAAGAAGAGGAAGCTTTCACGCTGCTGTAGGTCACTGTGTTGTTGTCAGGTAGTCTCTGGTTACCTGGTAAATAAATCACAGAGAAATATTTCAGCTCTAAACTTACAGGTTATGTTAATCAGTGTGAACAAATGTTGGTGTGAATGTTCTCACCTCGAGCTCTGATGAGAAGAACAGTAATCACAGTAATTAGGAGGAGTTCAGCCACACGCATAACCAACATTATGTAGTCCAGAGCAGAACAATCTGTACGAGCTGTAGAACAGAAAAAATCAACAAGAACTAAATAAAAGACTAAAATAAAATGTTAGATTAATATGTTTATTATGGGGAGAGAAAGAGGCTGACAGGAAGACAGAGAGACTCCAGAGAAAGATGAGTTACTACCTTGTAGTTTTGTTGAAGTATCATTAGTTGTTGTTGTGGCTGTAACTGATTTTGTGTTTTCAGTTGTTGTTGTTGTTTGTGCGTCACCTGCATGAATGAAATATCACAACCCAAGAAACTGTTGAGTTAGAAAATCCCTCATGTTTACCATCTGCTGTCACTAAATGAGAAAGAATGATGTCATCTTAAAAAGTCATCAAATAAACAAATGTTTTGGTGGTTTTAGTCATCTTGAACAGCTCAGCATATTCTCACCTGTTTTCTCACCTGAGGACTGAGGGCTGAAGGTGAACAGCTGCACTTCTCTAGAGTAACCATCTGTCACTTCACACTTCAAGTTAGACTTTGATTTGTAACTAAAATGAGAATCCAGGAAAGACACAGTGGTGTAGCAGACAGACTGTGATGTCTTCATGTCTTTTTATCTTTGTCCACATCTTTACCCTCATACAGCCACTTCACTGTGTGTATACAGGACTGTTCATATTTTGACACAGAGCAGTTTAACGTCACCTTATCAGCGTCCTTACGTTCAGTCACTGGTGAAGATGGAGATATTGTGAGAGAAAGACAACAAGAGTAAAGTTAACTTCATCACTGTGATCATAATTATTGTAATGTTTCAGTATATTGTTCTAACAAGACAGTTTGAGCTGAAAACATTATGATGGAAATACTCACTGATAATAAGAGACAGAAGAACCCGAGAGTCTGGAACTTGTTGTTGTTTTGATATGAACTGTCTGCAGTGATAACGACCAACTTCCTGATCTGTGACCTTCTTTATAACCAGAGAACAGTTCTCTGTAACACTCAGTCTGTCTGATTTAGCTTTGGTGTTTTCACCAATCTGCCCAAGTTTTACCAGTTTTACTGCTGCTGTGTTTCCTGAACCAACAAAGAGCCATGTAGTATTTTCACATTCTTGCTGACCGTCTTTCACATTTTCACAAGGCAAAGTGACTTCATCTCCAACTCTGACAGTGAAGGAGGGGGGAAGTTTTCCAGCTGCTGCTGTTGAGAAAATGATGAAAAATAAAGTGAAATGAGAAAATGTCTGTTATGTTCATAGTTAGTGACGATTATTTCTTTATCCTTAGTTTCCAAGAGTTCACTAAACTCACCACATTAGAAACAACAGATTTGGTTTTCTTAGTTAAATCAAATGTAGCTAATAAAGAATCTTTAATAACATTGATCAAGTTATTTTTTACAATGTGCCTTCCATTTATATATGTGATATATGTATTCTTACCTGTAAACTGAAGCACCGCTGGAAGAAATAAAGAAATCCATTTGAACTCAACCATCATGATTCTCTGAGTCTCTCCTTCTTCTGTCTCTTGTTCTCGTGCTCAGAACTGTCTGAGTTTCTAAACTAGTGCTTTAGTAGAGAGACGCTGCAGCTACTTCCTGTGGTTAGGATGATGTCACTTCCTCATAGTGACTTTTAGTCTGTTTTAGATTTCAGTCTCTCTGAATTTCTTGTCGATGTCCAAACAGCCAAAAACTCTGTTACAGTTTTCACTTTTACATTTTGACATGTAGTTTTCTCTCATCCACAGTGACTGACAGAGACCCCAAATTCTTGATCAGCAACATGAGATGCAGCCATCAGAGTTCACACTTTGGTCATTCCCGTCTATTTGTGACAATGACGTGTTTCACCAAGCGAAAAGAAGAAGAAGAAGTTGAAGCTGTGAAGATTGTTACTTAAGATAAATGTTTGCAATGATGCAACTTGTTTTCTTCAGATAGTGTTTATTAGAAAACAGACAGGATCCATGGTGATGTTTGACAGCACACATGAACAGACAGGTGAAGAGTCAAACTCCTCTCCCACCAGAATCTGACTCCTGATGTCCATGGTGCAATATGGTGATACTGTAGCAGCTGCTGAAGAACACAGATAAGATGATATTTTACTGCTCTGAGATCTGCTGGTTCCTCATTTTATCTTTGCAGATATTTTTGTTCAGAGATCTGAAGAGGAAGTGTTTCTGTGAGAATGTGGTTAACAACAGCAGCAGAGCTCTGCAGGTTTGACCCTTTAATGACCAGATAAACATCAGAAACACAGGAGGTTTTCTTCAGGCCTTGTCCCTGTTACCATTTTCCTTCCAGCAGGTCGGCCTTGTCCTTATAATCCTTGTTTTTCCTGATGACGAGAATACTGTAAACTTTAGACAACCACTGCATCTCGTTTGTTTTTTGTACCTCTCTCTCTCTCTGTGCATGCTGGGAGTCTGGTGTTGGTGAGTGTGGCTGAGAGTTTGTGAGTGAGACTTCCTTTTTTCCTCCTGCTGTGTTTACTGTGTGTGTTTGGGTGTTTTTGGTCGACAGTAAGCTGTGTTTGTTGGAGGGGATGGCGTCCTCAGAGATGCCGCCCCTGTCTCTAAAGCATGGGGTGAGGGTGGTGCTGCAGCCCAGCACCACGGTGGATCAGGTCCTGCTTGCAGTAGGAGAACAGGTGGGGAACAGAAACATCTCGTGTGCCTCACGCATGAATAAAGTGGTGGTCGTATTTATGAAGGAGAAGGGGTTTGTCACTCAGCTCATAGAAAGCGTCTTGGTTTTCTGTCTGCATCACTCGGGTCCCACCATTTATTTCTAATGAGATGTGGAGCAAGAAGGAAGGATCTCTGTGTTTACATGGTTATAAAGGTTTCTGTATGTCAAAGTGTGGATTTTAACCTGCAAGAAAGGATGTAACGGAAAGAAGCAAACGTGGAACGGTTTGTTTATACTAGCCTTGATACAAACCAGGAGCAGCTACTTTAACAAAGATCTACCGCTGTTTGCTTCTTAACGATCATTTCAGTCGTTTTACCGATACTCAGCTACCAGTGTTGGGCAAGTTACTCAGAAATTGTAATAAGTTACTAGTTACTTTACCCCGACTAAGGAATTGAATCAGAATCATCAAGTCCTGCCTATAGGACTTAATCGAATCATGCGTGTTTTTGTGCTTTTCCTGCTTCAAAGGAAATCAGCATCTCCATAAAGCTCGTCAGCAGATGGAAGCATGAAGTGCTCTAAAGTCTCCTGGTAGACGCTGCATTGACTCTGGACTTGATAAAACACAGCGGACCAACACCAGCAGATCACATGGCACCCAAATGATCACTGACTGTGGAAACTTCACACTGGATTCTGTGCCTCTCCACTCGTCCTCCAGACTCTGGGACCTGGATTTCCAAATGAAATGCAGAATTTACTTTCATCTAAAAAGAGGACTTTTGGCCGCTGAGCAACAGTCGAGCTTCTGACGTTTAAACCTTCCAGTCAACTTTCCATGAATATGATTTAATCCAGCACTCTTAATTTAATGTAATTCTTTATTCCAGTGGTCACCAACATTTTTGGTACTTAAATTTACTTTGTATCATTCAAGAAAGCAGATTAATGGCAATAACTTCCCGAGTAAATGAAACTAAATGCAGGTCTAGTCCATTTTATGCAGCATCACTATCACAATACCAACAGGCAAAACGTTTGCAGTAATGTTCACTCAAGTCAGTGTGATGCCTGTGATTGAAAACTGTCTGTGAGTTCTTTGTATTTTGGCTCATAGCTGCAGCCAGCCAGTCTGAGGCAGTCTGTGAGGTGTCTGTCAGTAAGGCGGCTCCTATACTTTGGTTTTATTATTTTCATTTACTGCTCTGGGTGGAACGCATCCTTGTATTTGATGGTTTGTGACATTTTTTCCAGGTTTGGAAAATGTGTTTGTCTCCTGCTGGTCCAAAAACCGAGCTTGGCCTTGAACGCATTCACTGCGCTTATCATGTGGGACAGGGGTCGTTTTTTTCCCTGGATCTCAGTGTTGAGTGCATTCAGTTTTGCCGTTAAGTCCGTCAGAAATCGCAGGTCAAGTAGCCACGCATCATCTGACAATTCTTTGTGCTCCTCGTTCCTTGTAGACAGAAAAGTCTTTATCTCTGGCAGCAAGTCAACAAATCTCTGTAGCACTTTGCCACCAGACATCAGCGTAGAGAATCAGGTCTCCGTAAGCGGCATCAAGCTCATCCAGTAACGCCTTGAATAAACGCTGTTGGAGAGCTTCTGCTCGAATCGAGTTAATCAGTTTGACCAGCAGGGTCATGACGTGAGAGAAGTCCACGACTTTCCCAACCAAGGCCTGCTGATGAATTACGCAGTGATAATTCACAAAGTCTGGAAAAGCAGGATCACTGCGGCACAGTGCTATAAAACCAGAGCGCATTGCCGGAGCCCCATCAGTAGGGATTGCCACCAGTTTCTGAATGGGAATACAATTTTCATCTACGTATTTTTTTTGACCCCTTGTTCTGTCCTTCAAGTGCAGAAGAGTGAGAAAGTCCTCCTTCGTTGTAGAATCCTGGAAAACCATTCTGACAAATCCAACAAGCTGAGCTGTGTCCATTACAGCCAGGGATTCATCAAACTGCAGCGAGAAATATTCACAAAGTGACCGATCCACATCCTCCGACAGTGATTCGGCCCTTCTTGTCACTGTTGCGGGGCCAAGCGGGACGCTGCTGAGTGCTGTTTTGATGTCATCTTTGTGTCAGCAGTAACAGCCATAGCCTCCTTGATTAACTCACCGTCTGTAAAAGGCTTCTTATGTCTTGCCAAAAAGTGACTAACACGAAATGATGCTTCAAATTAGCTTTATTGGCATGAATGTGTAAGAACAATATTGCCAAAGCATCATACATACAACATAAGAACAACCAACCCCATACATTTCATTAAAGTAATTAAAGCATAAAGTAATCAAAGCGTATATGTGTTAAAAAAAAGAAAAAATATTAAAAATTAAAATAAAAAAAATAAATAAAACAGTAAGCTTGTGTGTGTTAAAAAATATATATTAAAAATAAAATAAATAAATAAAACAGTAAGCGTGTGTGTGTTAAAAAATATATATATTAAAAATAAAATAAATAATAAAACAGTAAGCGTGTGTGTTTAAAAATATATATATTAAAAATAAAATAATAATAAAACAGTAAGTGTGTGTGTTAAAAAATTTAAAATATATTAAAAATAAAATAAAGAGAAAAAATAGTAAGCGTGTGTGTTTAAAAAAAAATAATAATAAAACAGTAAGTGTGTGTGTGGTAAAAAAATAAAAATATATAAAAATAAAATAAATAAAACAGTAAGTGTGTGTGTTTAAAAAAAAAATATATATATCAAAAATTCAAATAAATAAATAAAACAGTAAGCGTGTGTGTGTTTAAAAAATAATTAAAAATAAAATAAATAAATAATACAGTAAGTGTGTGTGTGTTCTTAAAAATAAAAATATATTAAAAATAAAATAAATAAATAAAACGGTAAGCGTGTGTGTGTGTTAAAAAAAATATAAAAATAAAATAAAGAAAGAAAACAGTAAGCGTGTGTGTCTGTTAAAAAAATAAAAATAAATTAAAAATAAAATAAATAAACAAAACAGTAAGCGTGTGTGTGTGTGATTTAAAAAAATTTAAATATATTAAAAATAAAATAATAATAAAACAGTAAGCGTGTGTGTGTGTGTGTTAAAAAAATAAAAATATATTAAAAATAAAATAAATAAACAAAACAAAATATATATATATCCATCCATCCATCCATCGTCAACCGCTTATCCTACGTACAGGGTCGCGGGGGGGCTGGAGCCAATCCCAGCTGACATTGGGCGCAAGGCAGGGTACACCCTGGACAGGTCGCCAGTCCATCGCAGCAATATATATATATAAAAAATAAAATAAATAAATAAAACAGTAAGTGTGTGTGTGTGTGTTAAAAAATAAAAATATATAATATATATATATATATATATATATATATATATATATAATATGCTTCTGTAGCAGCCTTATGTCGAACAGCAGGTTTAGTGAAGAGCGACTGCTGGGCTGTCAACTCCAACTTTAGCTCCGCCACTTTTTTAGCACGGATGGCGCTCTTCGGTGGATAGCTGTCCCTAAAGGTCGGGTGGTTAGCATTGTGGTGCCGTTCCAGATCTCCTCTTTTAGTCAGTGCTTGTGTTTGCCGGCATAACATACATATACACTTGTCTTTAACTAAGGTAAAAATGTATTCTTCTTCCCATTCTGGATGAAAATAGTAGGTTTGCGGCTTCTTTCGCGGAGCCTCAGCCATGTTAGCTGGCTGTAACCTAGCTAACGTAGCCCTTGCGTGCATCTGCATGTGAAATCTGAAACCGGTGAGGATGACTTCTCTTAACTCATTGGTCAATTCAGTTGTACTTTTATTTTATTGGTCACTTTCATGCTCCTGTGAAGATACTACAGCTGGCTCAAGAGAGAGGGGCCCCTTACAAAAGCGAACTTTAATCGGGCATTTAGATGATTATGTAATTGTTTTAATATTATTTTCACGATCTACAGGAAAAGTCTCAAAGATCGACATGTCGATCGCGATCGACGGGTTGGTGACCCCTGCTTTATTCTAATTTTTTGAGATACGGATTTTTGATTTCTATGAGCTGTAATCTGTAATCATCAGGATTAAAACAACAAAAGACCTGAAACATTTCACTTTGTCTAATGAATCTAGAAAGTTTCACTTTTTGACTTTTTTGGATGCTCCTGTAGATGCACCAAACACTTTCTTTAATTTAGAGAAGTAAGCTGTTTTGAAAAACAAAAACAAATGGTGTGTCTCCGCCTCCCTGATGGAAAAGTGACCACAGACCCAACAGAGATGAGGAACCATAATGGATTAGTAATTCTAGATCATCTTTGTATGAACTTGTAAATGTACTTAGTTACACTCCACTACTGGAAGTATTTAAATTCATGTGCAAAAATATCAGTCAGTTCAGTAGATGTTGAGATTTCTTTGAATAAAAAACAAAAGAAACAGAAACACAGACTGACCTCATGATGGCGCTCTGGAGTCAACAGCCAGCAGAGAGCTCTCTCTGTCTCTCACAGTATAGCTTTGTCCCTAACTCTTAACCATCACAACTAAATGACCCAAACCTTCATTGAAATTAAACTTTATTTAATCTTCACCCTAAAACACTCTTTTAAAGGTCTGTCCCAAAGTGAGAACAGACAAAACGTCCTCACTCCCAAGGTCTCAAACTCTAATTGGTCCTGACAATTATAATTACAGACACACAGAACGGGAGAAAGTCAATAATTATTTCAATAATCTTCAGGCTGCTCTTTGTTCAGCATGTTTGGAGATTTAAAATGTGTCTGTGGACGAACTGAACCTGGAAACTGTGGTCATGTTTGTCCTCACAACATAACATAAAACCATGAAACATATACAAACATTGTAATGGTAAAAAAAATCCATCCTCTGTCCTTTCCTAAACACTTTTCCTTGACTTTGATGGAAAACGTCATGAGGTCAAGGAAAGATGTGAAGGAGAATTCATAAAAGACAACCGCGGTGCTCAGAGAACCAGGCTGCACTTACACCAGCTTCTTTTTAACCAACTTTATTTATAACACGCGGAAGATGAGTACAGTGACAAACTCAATGCTGCTCACTTCAAAAGGTTTCCTGTCCAACACAGAATCACACCTCCTAAGAAAGGATGTTTCATTTGGTACATTTAACCATCAGTTAGGCTGCTCATAGGAAGTAACAACAACATAGATACTGCTGAAAAAACAAAAAGGATTAAAATGCTGACACAATATAATAACAAAATCAATATACAAGTAGAGAAAGTTGAGCTTAAAGAGTAAAATGTATTCAAAAAAATGTGGGACAGCATTATCACCTTTCCTTTCATAAAGGATGGTCCAGTGTAGCCTTTGCTAAAGGAGCTAAGAAAGGAAGCATTTAAAGGCCTTTACTCAGCATTTAGAGAAATCGACCAGCTTCTATGATGGCGCCACTTTAACACCTTTCTGGATTCGGTTTCTGGTAACATACCGTAATGATGGTGTAACCCAGGTTAATATTACCTTAAAACCAATATGTAGACAAACAAATAACATTAGGCATCAGTAATTTTTGTGAGTTTATTTTGTGTGTATGGTTATTCTTTAATAAGTGCAGCGGTAACAGCCATTCAGAGGGACTCTAGCGCAGCTTGCCGGAGAGAAAGGAAAAACGGAGCGAGAGCAGTGAACAACAGAGAAGTCCGAAAACGAGTTAGGAGAGACTGAGGTAAAAGAATAAAAAAACAAGTTTTGAAGACTGTAAAACATATTTTCTTTGAGATCTTTGAAGGAGTTTGCTTTTTGTCCACATCACCAGATTCTGTTTTTGTTGCTTTGAGCAAAGATCTGGTGAGTGAAAACTACTATTTACAATGTGTAAATTAGCAAACATTAACTTTTCTTTCAAGCTGAATGTAACGTTAAGCCTAAAGTGTCAGTAGCTAAACTAAGAAAATGTGAATTATGTTGTGTATTTTGGGTTTTATTTGTGTAAAAGAATTGAAAAGCTACGTGCAACATTCAAGTGTAGCCTGGTCAGTGAATGGAGACGAACGCCGCCGCCATTTTAGAGTGCGGCTCAGATTTAATTAAAAAGTTTAGGTGCTAGTCTTCTTCAGTTAATTTGGTTGAAGATATAAAAGACTGAAATGTGTGTATGTGTATTAGGGTGCCACTCAATGTAATGGCCATTTTTTCCCCAACATTTTCCAGGTCCCACCCCCTCATTCTGTTCCTTATGATGCATAGTAACTGTGAGAAGTTTCATTCAGATATATTAATATTTACTGGTAGCTCAGTGGGCTCAATGTTTTTATATTTACTTTCATTGGGATAAAATGTTATTTAATTAAAAATTTCTCTACCAAAGTAAATTAATCCTTGAGTAATGAATTGTTTTTTATATCATTTAACTGTTAACTTTCATGTTCTGATTTGTGTTATTATTTGGTTTAAATACTATGTAATCAGAATAATATTTTTGGGTTAGCACTATTGCAGCCGTAGTCAGTAGTATAGTTAACTCTGTGCAGGGTCGCGAAGGGGCTGCAGCCAATCCCAGCTGTCATTGGTGAACCCTGGACAGGTTGCCCGTTCATCACAGGGCTAGCTCATAGAGACAAACAAGTCATGCACACATTCACACCTAAGGGCAAAGAGTCACCAGTTAACCTATGCATGCCTTTGGACAGTGGGAGGAAGCAGGAGAACATGAAGAGAACCCACACAGACACGAGGAGAACATGCAAACTCCACAAAGAAAGGCCTGGGCCTCGATCCACAGAACCTCTTGCTGTGAGGTGACCGTGCTAACCGCTGCACCACCATGTCGCGTCTGTGTGTCATGTTAATCTTAATTATTCTCACTTTTAGCACCACCTACCAGTTATTTTCTGGTACAGTAAAGGAGGACTCTTCAAGAGAGGTCAGTTATCAAGAGCTTCTTCTGCAGCTGTCGCTTCTGTTTGTT